AGATCGGGAGGTAGAATTCAAGATTGAGATTTACTCGGGTACCGAACCTGTTTCTATGGCTCCATATAGAATGCCTCTGACTGAATTGAGAGAATTAAAAGTCCAACTGTAAGAATTACTCGATAAGGGGTTTGTAAGACCTAGTGTTTCTCCTTGGGGAGCACCTGTGTTGTTTGTGAAAAAGAATGACGGGTCTATACGATTATGTATCGTTTACCGCCAGTTAAATAAAGTCACAATAAATAACATGTATCCTCTTCCAAGGATTGATGATTTGTTTGATAAATTAAAAGGAGCAGCGGTGTTTTCTAAGATAGATATAAGGTCGGGGTACCATCAACTAAAGATTAAAGATGATGATATTTCAAAGATAACTTTTTGGACTCGGTATGGGCATTATAAATTTGTAGTGATGCATGCACCAGCGGCATTCATGGACTTGATGAACCGAGTATTTTAATCGTACTTGGATCAATTCGTGGTGATATTTATAGATGATATTTCGGTATATTCTAAGTCAAGAGAAGAACAAGATACTCATCTTCGAGTAGTTCTTCAGACACTCCATGAGAGGAAGTTGTATGCCAAATTGACAAAGTGCGAATTTTGGTTACCCAAGTTGCTTTCCTTGGTCTCATAGTCTCTATAGAAGGTATGAGAGTATATCCAAGAAATATCCAAGCTATAGTGGATTGGCAAACTCCAAAGAATGTTTCGGAGGTTTGGAGTTTCTTAGGACTTGCTGGTTATTATAGATAGTTTGTGAAGAACTTCTCAATGTTATCTTTTCCAGGATATGCCATTTGTCTGGATGGAGAAATGTCTGGATGGAGAAATGTCAGTAAATCTTTGAAAGGCTCAAGAGGATAGTAATAGAGGCCCCTGTGTTGGTACAACCTGAGGCAGGTAAAGACTGTGTTGTTTTTATTGATGTATCTCATAATGGACTGGGGTGTATGCTGATGCAAGATGGAAAAGCTGTGGCTTATGCCTTAAGAAAGTTGAAGAATCATGAGAAAAATTATTCGACTCACTATTTAGAATCGGCAGCCGTTGTGTTTGCATTGAAAATCTGGCGTCATTAGCTGTGTGAGGAACGGTGCCATATTTATACAGATCACAAGAGCCTAAAGTACATGTTGACAATAAAGAACTGAACTTGAGGCAAAGAAGATGGATCGAGCTTTTAAAAGATTATGATATAATTATTGATTATCATCCCTGGAAAGACGAATATAGTAGTGGATACATTGAGCCGAATGATTTTTGCCTCTCTACGGGCTTTTGATGCGCATATGTCATTAAAGGAAGATGGTGCCTTGATTGCTGAGCTTAAGTTAAATCTAATGTTTTTGGATCAGATAAAAGAGCTCCAAGGTCAAGATGAGAAATGCTCATCGAGAATGGCACAAGTTGAAAAGAAATAAACCAAATATTTCGAAATAAGAGGCGATGGATGTTTATATTATCAAGGAAGACTTTGCATACCCGAAAATGAAAAATTGAAGGAACACGTTCTTTATGAAGAACATTATAGCCCCTTGACGATGCATCCAGGCGCGAATAAGTTGTATCAGGATTTAAAAAGTCGTTATTGGTGGTCGGGTATGAAAAGAGCTGTATCGGAGTTTGTGGCAAAATGTTTGATGTGTCAGCAAGTGAAAACTGAACATCAAGTATCCTATGAACTGCTTCAATCGATATTTTTTCCTGAGTGGAAGTGGGAGCCAGTTACTATGGATTTTGTTTTGGGGCTACTTTTATCACCAGGCAAAACGGACTCTATATGGGTAATTATAGATCGATTGACTAAGACAACTCATTTTATTCCAGTAAGAGTAGATTACTCGATGTATAAGTATGTACAGTTGTATATTAAAGAAAAAGTCAAACTGCATGGAGTGCCTATATCAATAGTGTCCGATGGAGACCCAAGGTTTACTTCAGGATTTTGGAAGTCGTTGCACGAGGCATTGGGTTCTCGATTGAACTTCAACACTTCTTTTCATCCGAAGACAGATGGACAGTTAGAGCGAGTCATCCAAATACTTGAGGATATGCTAAGAGCATGTGTGATTGAGTTGAAAGGATCACGGGAAAGGTATTTGCCTTAAGCCAAATTTGCGTATAATAACAGTTGCCAGTAGAGTATTAATATGGCTCTGTATGAAGCTTTATATGGGAGAAAGTGTCGTACACCATTAAATTAGTTTGAACTAAAAGACTAAGACCTAGTTGGGTCAGAGTTGATTAAAGAAATAGAGGAGAAAGTAAAGATTATTCAGGGAAATCTAAAGATAGCCTCCGATCGACAGAAATCTTATGATGATTTGAAAAGAAAAGAAATCGAATTTCTAGTGGGAGACAAAGTGTTCTTAAAGGTGTCGCATTGGAAGAAAGTTTTGAGATTTGGGCACAAACGAAAGCTGAGTCCGAGATTTATTGGACCTTATGAAATCTTGAAAAGAGTAGGACCAATAGCATATCAGTTAGCTTTGCCTCCAGATATGGACAAAATCCACAATGTTTTCCATGTATCGATGCTCTGAAGATACCGTTCAGATCCATCCCACATTATTAAACCAGAGGAAATAGAGGTCCGAACAGATTTAACTTATGAAGAAGAACCAGTGCAGATCCTGGCTAGAGAAATCAAGGAATTGCGCAACAAAAAGATTCCTTTAGTTAAAGTACTATAGCAAAATCATAAGGTTGAAGAAGCTACTTGGGAAAAAGATGAGGACATGAGAATGCAGTTTCCATAGCTTTTCGCTCCATGTATTTATTTAAATTCGATAACGAATTTTCTTAGGGGATAAATTTAATACCCCAAATATCAGATCAGATACTATATCGAAAAGATTCAGAAATTTAAGATTTAATTGAATAAGTGGTAAAAGATGAGAAAAATGATTTGGAATAGTGTTTAGACTAATTTGTATAAATAGATAAGTTAAGAGGGCATTTTGGTCTTTTTGGAGGAAAATCGATTTAAATATATATTAGGGATTGTAAATAGGAGGAAAGAGGAAAGTAAAGCATTTCCTACTCTTTTTCTTCTCCTACACGTTGGTATTTCTCTCCTCTCTAGCATAAGGTAAACTTCTCTTAGCTAGTTCTTTCTTCAAATTATGGGTTGCTTTGGTAACATTAGGTGTTATGTGAGCTTAAGGAAGGATTAAAGAAGATTTAAACTAAGTGAGGGATGTTTTATAAGAGATTTAAAGAAATGTGTTTTTAAATGACATGTTGATATATGTGTTTTTATTGAGGTTTATTAGTAAAATTGACTTGTCAAAGGATTAAACAAAAGATTAGAAGCATGAGATAAGATTAAAAACATGTTTAGAAAAATGGTATGATTCTTGAGATGAGATGTTCGATGAAGATGTCAGATGTTAAAGATGGCAAAACGAAGTAAAGTTAGTTGGGTTAAATAAAGAGAAGTTAAATAGTATTGTTTGAGGTAAAAGTATGAGATTAGAGGGCAAAATTAAGTGAAATTCGAGCTGAAAAATGGTACTTTTGGGCAATGGTATCGGTACTGATAGAACAGTATCGATACTATAGGTGTAAATAGGTAGAAATGGGAAGAACAGTATCGATACCGATGAAAGAGGTATCAATACTGATAAGGTATCGATACTAACAAAGGAAAGTATCGATACCATGGATCCAAAAAATCAAAATGGTATCGATACTGATAGGGAGTATCAGTACCATAATATAGTAGTATCGATACTGAGAAAAGGGTATCGATACCATGCAACACAGAATATAGAAATGGTATCGATCCTGAAAGGGGGTATCGGCTCTAAATCGAATTCATAATTAAAATGCATGAAAGGATGCCATAATTAAAATGCATAAAATGATGCATTAAGGCTTGAAAGGATGCCATAACTAAAATGCATGAACGAATACATTAAGGCATGAAAGGATGCCATAATTAAAATGCATGAAAGGATGCATTAAGGCATGAAAGGATGCCATAACTAAAATGCATGAACGGATGCATTAAGCCATGAAAGGATGCCATAATTCATGAAAGGATGCCAAAATTAAAATGCACGAAATAATGCATTAAGGCATGAAAGGATGCCATAACTAAAATGCATGAAAGGATACATTAGGCCATGTAAGGATGCCATGATTAAAATGTATGAACGGGTGTATTAATACATGAAAAGAGAACCTAACTAAAATTAATGAATAATTACTAAATAAAAATGAAGTAAAAAAAGGTATGTTGGACATACTAAAACTGTTTATGATGATAATATGACAGAATTTTGGTTTCAATAAGAGTGACTTAACTAATCCTTATAGATGATACAACTTAGTTTGAAATCAAATAACCATGAGATACTTATATATACCTTATGTTCTTTACAATATTATATCTCACTAAGTAAATGCTTAACGTGTGTTGTTTCCCACGAGTAGGTAAAAGCAGAGAGTAACTGAGTAAGGAGTGCATCTATAGCAGCATTGATCATCAATTTAAGGTGGAATCATAAGTGACACCAAGACAACCTAGTTTATTTTGGGAAAAACTTATTTGGCATGTAATCACAATATTAAAAATGCTTTTAACTTTAATTAAGTATAACTTTTAACATTTTACAATCAATGTTTTGCTTTATATTAAAATATGTTTTCAGAAATCGAAAAAAAATTTATGGGTTTTTCAAATGAGGAATTGTTCTAAAGATGATGTGACATCTGTATCTCATGTACGGACAAGTATACGGGAGATAGGTGTTACAAATTATTAAAAATAATTAAACTTTGCAAATCAAACATGTACAAAAATATTTTTTAAATTACAATGGATGCAATACCTTATTAATTATATTTTCTTATAATTATTTTATGGTGTTTAAATACATCATTCATAACATATGGAACAAATAAATATATATTTCTATAATAAAGGCTACCATGTTTAAGATGACAGTTTTTCACCAAGGAAACTTGCTCAATGTGCCAATAGAGCCATGAACAACGATCAAAACCAAGGAGCTCAACAAGTGCAAGATCCAATAGATCCAAATGGCACTGCAAATCGGAATGCTGGAATTGTACCCCAACCTAGAGCTATTCGAGATCACTTAACTCCTACCTTGGATGATCTCAACCCTATGATTGTAACTTTCGAGATATAGGTAGCCCACATTGAGCTTAAACTAGATATGTTCAATATGTTGAAATTGATAGAACAATTTAGTGGCATGTCTCATAAAGATGATAGGCAACACATTTGATCTTTCTTGGAAGTTTGTGATTCATTTAGGCAATAATGAGTGCATGAAGATGTGTTGAAACTTAAATTATTTCATTTTTTGCGTGACCGAACAATGACTTGGTTGAGTGGAGTTCCATCCAGCTCGATGGAGTCATGGGCTGATTTATGTAAAAGTTTTTTTACTGTGATATAATCCATCGAACATGCAGTCTTAACTCAGAAATGACGTAGCATCTTTTCGTCAAGCTGATGACGAATCTATGTATGAATGTTGGGACCGATACAAGGGATTGCTTCACAAGAGTACTAATCATGGATTTAAAGATTGGAATCAAGTGGTAATATTCTACAATGAAGTCAATGCACCCACTAGGATGATGCTAGATGCCTAGGAAAATGGTACTTTGCTAGACAAATCACCTAAAGATGCTTTTGACATTCTTGATAAAATTGCTAATAATGACTTCAAGTTTCCTTCTTCGAGGCTTGGAACATGGAAGAAGGCACAAGAGACATTCGAACTAGATGCTAAGGATTCTATGTCCGCCCAACTCTCCGCTATCACAAATGTGTTGAAGAATATGAAACGTTCCAGTAAGGTGAAAGAAGGTGGCCAACTCAACATGTTTATTATGTTGTGGCAATCACCATGGAGTGAATCACAGAAAATCAAGAATCGATCAACTATGTGGGGAATTTCAATCAAAGCAACAATAACTACCCCTACTCTAACACTTATAATCCATGATGGAATCAGAATCCTAATTTTTCGTGGGGAAATCAAGGAGCAACTAATGCTAGTCATCCTACTCGGCAGCAGAATATAAATGAACCCCAAGTTTTTAATCAAATATTTCTTGGCATAATTCTAATAAGGGGCAGTGTCTTCATTAAATACAAGTTCCTTGGAAACTACTATAAAGGAAATTATAGCAAGTGAAAAGACGATGTTTCAAGAACATTCTTCAACTATCAAGAGTCAAGGAACATTGTTGTAAATCCATAACACATCTATACAAGCTTTGGAGGGTCATATTGGTCAAATTGTTTCGGCATTACAAGAACGGTAGCCAAGTCATCTTCCAAGTGACACTGAAGTTACTAAACCTCATGGAAAGGAACAATATAGTGCCCTTACACTATGGAGTGGCACCTAAATTAATCAAAAAGACAAGTTTGGGGGAAACAATAAAGATAAATCCACTCCAATAAATGTGCAAGCAAAACCGGATATGCAAGAAGAGATAATCGATGAGAAGGAAAATGATAAGGGTTCAACAAGTGAATATACTAATGGAGTAAACAAAAATTCTACAGAAAAAGTTATTCCCACCATATCAGTAGAAGAAGTCATACCCCCCACCACCCTTCCCGCAAAGGCTGAAGAAGCATAATGATGATGTTCAACTCAAGAATTTTGTTGAGATTCTTGACCAACTTTATATCAATGTCCAACTCATGGAAGCTATTGATAAAATGCCCACATACGCCAAATTTCTCAAGGAAATTGTTACCAAGAAGAGAAAATTCAAGAAGTTTGAGACAATTGCCACATCAAAAGAATATTGCTCTGCCTTGAGCAAGCTATCATTGAAACAAAAAGATCCATGCAACTTTATTATTTCATTCTCTATAGGAGAGAACTATGTTGGAAAAGCCTTGTGTGACCTTGGATCAAGCGTGAATCTAATGCCCAAGTCAATATTTTACAAGCTTGGAATAGGAAATGCGATACCTACCTTTGTTATTTTGCAACTAGCTGATCGTTCCCATGTTCGTCTTGAGGGGAATATCAAGGATGTCATAGTAAGGGTGGACAAATTCGTACTTCTAGCTTACTTCCTTATACATGATTGCGAGGTTGATGTAAATATACCCATACTTTTGGGAAGGTCTTTCCTAGACATGGGACGTATTCTTATTGATTGTGAGAAAGGCGAACTCACTATGCGAGTAGCTAATCAGAGTGTGATTGTGAATGTCTTTCGTTCTCTTAAATATGTGGATGATTTTGAAGAATGTCAGAGCATTCCGGAAGCGGGCTTAATGATAGAAGAAGCTGAGCAATTTTTCCATATCAATTTCACACAACTGGTTGATTATGAAGAGCTTATGAAAGAGGATAACAAAGAGGAGGCTGAGGAATTCCCCATAGAGGTACATCAGTCAAGCTTAATCTCAGCTAGACCAGATATATGCTTTGAACATATTGATTTCAAAGAATTTATTCATCTTGAGCCCTCCTTATAACATGCACCCAATTTGGAACTAAGAACTTTGCCACAACATCTCAAATATGCTTACTTAGGTGATAATAAAACATTACCATTATTTATCTCTTCCAACCTTAATCCTGACCAAGAACATAATTTGTTAATCGTTTTGTCAAAGCATAAGAAAACGTTATGATAACCATGGAAAATTTGAAGGGGATAAGTCCTACCATAGGCATGTACAAAATTTTGCTGGAGGAATGCATTGCAATTCCATAAAGCCACAGAGGAGATTGAACCCTGTCATGAAAAAGGTGGTCATGAAAGAGATTATCAAATGGCTTGATGCTAGAGTTATTTACCCAATATCTAATTGTTTGTGAGTGAGATCGGTGCAATGCATCCCCAAGAAAGGAGGCACAATTGTGGTGAGCAATTACGACAATGACCTCTTGCCCATGTACATCGTCACTGAATGGAGGATTTGTATGGACTACCGTAAGCTCAACAAGGCTACCAAGAAGGACCATTTTCGTCAATTAAATACTTTTTTGATTGAAGGGCAAGACATATTATTGCTTTCTAGATGGATATTCGGGATACAATCAAATTTCCATAGCACCAGAGGACCAAGAAAAGATAACATTCACGTGTCTTTATGGAACTTATGCTTTCCGTATGATGCCTTTTGGTCTATGTAATGCACCAACAACTTTTCAACGCTGCATGCAAGCCATTTTCTCCGACATGGTTGAGGAATTTTTAAATATTCATGGATGATTTCTCTGTCTCTGGAGATAGTTTTGAAAAATGACTTGACAATCTGGTGAAGGTTTTGAAGTGTTGTGAAGAGGCTAACCTGGTGTTGTATTGGGAAAAATGTCACTTCATGGTGACTGAAGGTGTTGTGCTAGGCCACAAAATTTCACACAAGGGTATTGAGGTGGATATAGCTAAAATTGAGGAGATCGAGAAGTTATATCCATCGACCACTGTCAAGGGCAATAGAAATTTTCTTGGACACGCATGTTTCTTTAGAAGGTTTATCAAGGACTTCTCCAAGATTTCTAAACCCTTGTGTACCTTGTTGCAACAAAATCAGCCTTTTGTGTTTTGATAAATTTTGTCATGGCGCATTCACAGAGCTAAAGCAAAGCCTCATTTCAACACTAATTATAGTTCCTCCTGATTGAACGTTGCCCTTCAAGTTGATGTGTTATGCAAGCCACTATGTCATAGGAGTTGTGCTTGGGCAACTCTGAGGTAAAATCTTCCATGTTATTTATTATGCCAGCCGTACATTGAATGATGCACAACTTAACTATACTACTATTGAGAAAGAATTACTTGTCGTGGTATTTGTATTTGATAAGTTTAGGTCATACTTGATAGGCACCAAAGTTATTGTTCACAATGCTCACTCAGTTATCAAATACTTAGTGAACAAGATGGATGTCAAGCCTAGACTCATTAGGTGGATACTACTCTTGCAAGAAATTGACTTAGAGGTGGTAGATAGGAAAGGTACAGAGAATCAAGTTGTTGATCATCTCTCTAGGCTAGAAAACAATTCAGAATGTCGTGACAATTTGGGCATTAAAGAAGAATTCCCTTATGAGAAAATATTATATGCCACGACAGTTCTGTGGTACGCTGGAATTGTTAATTTTCTTGTTAGTGGTATTTTACCTTATGACATAAATAGCCAGGGAAAGAGGAAATTCATGTACGATGCTAGATTCTATTTTTGGGTCGAATCATACCAGTTCAAGCGATGTACAGACCAGATAACCCGAAGGTGTATCCCCGAATAGGATCAAAGAGAAATCTTACATCATTGTCACATGGGTCCGTGCGGAGGTCATTTTGGAGGTGCAAGGACTGCTGTAAAGGTCCTTCAATCAAGCTTTTATTGTCCTACCCTTTTTAAATATGCCAATGCATTTTACAAGACTTGTGATAGATGCCAACGCACAGGAAACATCTCTAGGAGACATGAAATGCCCTTGCAAAATATCTTGGAGATAAAACTTTTTTATGTGTGGGGCATCAACTTCATGGGCTTGTCCGTCTTCATTTAGAGACTTATATATCTTACTGGCAGTGGACTACGTGTCCAAGTGGGTTGAAGCAATTACTACGCCAACGAATGATTCAAAGATTGTGCTTAAGTTCCTTCATAACTACATCTTTAAGAAATTTGGTGCACATAGAGCTATCATCAGTGATAAGGGCACCCACTTTGACAACAAGTTAATTGCCAAAACATTGTAGAGGTATGGAGTGCAGCATAAAATTACCATGGAATATCACCTCCAAACCAATGGGCAAGCTAAAGTCTCAAATCTCGAGATCAAGCAGATTTTGGAAAAGGTGGTGAAACCCAAAAGGAATAATTGGTCACCGAAGCTTGATGAAGCGCTCTGGGCATACCGTTCAGTATTTAAGACCTTGATAGGCATGTCCACATTTAAGTTGATATATGAAAAGTGTGCCATCTCCCGGTTGGGTTAGAGCACAAATCCTATTGGGCCATCAAGAAATTCAATTTTGATGCCCAATTAGTTGGTGAAAAAAAAATTATTCGATCTCAATGAGATGGAGGAGTTCAGGGCACAAGCGTATGAAAATTCCAAGTTATACAAGGAAAAGACTAAGAAGTGGCATGATCAGACCATTTTACCACGTCATTTTCATATTGGTCAGCAGGTTCTCCTCTACAACTTAAGATTGAAACTATTACCGGGAAAACTTAAGTCAAGATAGTCTGGACTATTTAAGATGCACCAAGTTTATCCCCATTGAGTTGTGGACATCAAAAATCTTGATGATGAGATAATTTTGAAGATCAACAGCCAATGTTTAAAGGCATACACTGGAGCTGTCATTATGCGAATAAGCCAACACTATAATTGCAGGATGCCTGTATTGAAAATGCCATGATGTTTTTTACTTCTATTCATAAATAACATATTTTCTTTATTTTATTTTCAATGATTAATTTTATTTTAATTATTTTCTATTTGATTTTCCTAGGTGAATATTTTATGTTAACCATGCAAGTGACATCTGAAAGGGATTCAAGGACAAAAGAAGGACAAAACCCTATTTTATTGGTTTTGAGTGGCTAAAAACAAAATGAGATGGAGACTTTATTTTTAGTTTTCAAAAAAAATCCCTTTTGACTTTTTATTTCATTTTTCTCTCTCCACTTTTTTTCATTCTCATTATTACTTTTAACCCCCTCCACACATTTTCTTCATTAACCCCCCACCGCTTGTTGTTTATTACTCTCTTCTCTTACCTTTGTTATCTTTTCAACTTCATCTTCTTCTCTTTTCTTCAAAGGAGAAAAACATCATAACCAACAAAGCTTCAAGCTTTTTGTCTTAGTCTTTGTACATTTAAGCAGCCATGGTATGTTCCTTTCCCCCCGATTCCGCTCCACCTTTTCCCCAGCTATTCCAAGATGATGAATCCAAAGAACGATTCCAAAGCATCAAGAACCGAAGGCTTTCCTTTGAGCAAGGCTTTATCTTCTCCTACGGTGACCTAAGGTTGAATTTCATGGAAGTCGTTAACAGTCACAAATAGGAAAATTTTGTACGATATCCCAAAAACATGAATGTCTCCATTTTTCGAAAGTTTTTCACCCACATCTCTGAACTAAAGAAATGATCGGTTTATGTGAGACATAAAAATGTTCATTTTTCATCTACTGCCATTAACCGCTACTTTAAAATTCCAGAGGTTGTAGATCATCATATAATATTTGAGGAGGATATCGATTTTGAGACTTATCTTGGGTTAAGGAATATTTATGTTTTGCGAACTCTGCATGGAATGATGTTCAAGCTACTCGTCTCTCGATGAATTGGGAGAGGCTTTAACTAATGGTGAAGTTATATAACCATTTTATGAAGCATAAGTTGATGCCCACCGCCCAAAACACCACTATTTCACTACCCCGTATGATGCTATTATACTCGATACTCATGGAATGGTCAATTGATGTGGGGAAGATTATTGTGGAGTAGACCCATGCATGTTTAAAGCGACTGACCAGTGCCCTCTTTTTTCCAAGTCTCATCACGACACTATGTTCAAAGAAAAAGGTCATAGAGGATGACTATGATGAACTCATCCCTGGGTTGAAGGAATCACTACAGACAAGCTATCGGTATTATTGGGGTTCAATGAGGACAAGCCCGAGGTGATTGTAGAGACTGCTGCAAGGTCAAATGTCACAACAAAACTAATTGTTGTTGAGGAATCATCGTGATTGAATAGGGAACAAGTTTAAACTTTATCGGGTGATCTCTAAACATTCTTTGTTTATGTCAAGCAAAGAGACTCAGTGATTTAGTCTTACTTCAGGGAGATACTTCTATAGTTGGCCCAGGATCTTCTAACTTTCACTAATTCAATCTTACCTTAATATAAGAATGCCTCGGCATTTCTGGATCCCCTACCACCCGAACCATAAGATGATACCTAGACCAACATGGAGCCTGAGGATGAGGACCAAGAGCAAGACCACCAGCTGTAAGCTACAGGGAATAGGACCAACCCATGCAACCATCCATTACCGTTGAACAGCTCCCCAAAGAGGTGCCCACACAACACATGGAGACTCATGCCACTACTAATGAGCCATAAGGGGAAGTACCCACACAATCTAAAATGTCGTAACAATCACCCGTGCGCAGGACCAAATGTCTCCTGAAGAAGTCCGCGGGGAGAGTCAAGAGCTCAACTTCTAAGGATCCTGAGCAGATGCCTGACCTGCTCGTTGAACTCAGAACTGAGCCGACGCCCATTGAAGAGGCGCACCAGGAGCAACATAACCGCCACAGAACCACCACCATCTTAGTTAACCCGAGGTACCTTGCATTGCATTTCATAGCATGTAGTTTAGATTTAACTTATTTTATTTTCTGCATTGAGGGTAATATAACCCTTAAGTTTGGGGAAGGTAGTGTTCTTTTTAGGTCATTTGCATAATAGGGTTAGTATAATTATTTTTCTATGGCATTAGTACGTTTTAGGATAGTTTGTTGGAATAAGTTGATAACGTCGATATTCTTCTTTATGGATAGAACCAAATGTATGTGACTTTGGAGTTTGATAGGATTTGTTCAAGGACTTGGTTTTTTGCGCTTTGAATTGTTACACGATTGTACGTTCTCTATGCTTAGGAATTTTAAAAATTTATTTATGAAGAAAGCTTGAATACCTTGATGTGTACTAATGAGATTGAACTTAATTGTTTCAATTAAACTCCCTTTTATATTTTGAATTATGGTTAATGGTGAATAAATGCTTCGGCATAATTGTAGAGGAACACTCTTCTTTGCTATGGCATTGCCTAGATACTATATTTCAATAAATGGAAGCCATAGCATAGAAGGAATGAAAGTAGTCACGGGATGACTCTGCTCCTTTGTCTTGTGTTGTATTACTTGGATACCGTGTTTCAATAAATGGAAGCAATAGCATGAGTAAAGGGTAATTGTGATAGGTTGACTCCCCTCGTAGCAGTTTAAAAAAAATTAAGTGTTAATGAAATGAGAGTAATGAACTTGTCCTTAAACTTGAAAACATGCTATGATAGAATAGTAGACTTTCTTTAGAATTTTCTAACTTGACTAAGCATAGATTGGATATAAGCACGCATACACACCTGCAAAAGACCTTGTCCTAGGGAAATATTATTGAAATCTTCGTGTGTCTAACTTGTTGATGCCAAGAAATTTCTGAGTGTTGAAACTCTATTACACCTAACTGTTCTGAAACTGAACTTTGCCATGACATTTTTCTTTTGCTAACTATTATCTATTGCTTGAGGACATGAAATAACTTAAGTTTGGGGGTGTGATAAGTCCATAAAAATACTATATTTAGGGCCTTTTCACTTAAGTTATTGGTTATCTCAAGGTACATGTAGGTTCATTTAGATGCATATAAAAGAATATAATTACATTCGGTGGTTTGCCTTTTTTGTGGAATTTTAATATGTAAATGGTGCTATTTTACAGGGAAGGTTGTACTTTTGTTGGTTATGTACAGGTCGATGAAGCAGAGGGTGAGCATGGAGAATTGGTATAACATTCTTGGATAGTGAGCAAGAAGAATTGTCGAGGCAAATTGGGACAACTCCTGTACGTATAAAAAAGACAAAAACTGAAGAAGATATTTTTATGGAAGCTGCCAGCTGTACACAATCACACGTTTTTTGCCACCAACCGCCTAGAAGGGGACCACAGCCTCCATTGCAACCACCTTCACATAAAAGAAATGTACCTTAGGGTACTATAGGGATTTTTACACTAAAACCTAGGAAATTCCCTAGTACAAATAGAAAAGGTAGCTACCAAAAATAGGAGAGGATTCTTTAAGGAAAGAATGAGCTAAGCAAAGCGGCTATAAAGCTTCTAACTTTCTTTCCCTTTTTTTCTTTTCAAGGGTCTCCTCCATAGTCCAGCTTAGGGAATGGCGTGCTAGGCGTCCTAGAGGAGCTAGCCAGCTAAGGTGTCGTTCATGGTGGCCCGAGGAGCAAACGGTAGAGCGCGTTGGGAGTTTCCTCCATCCCTTTGCTTTATTTTCTTTCAATTTACTTGGGTTCTATGGAACAATTTATTCACTTGGATATTTCGAACCCTACCATAAACTAAACATTATTTGGTGTGGGTTCTCATGGATGATTAAGTTTTTGTTTTATTGAATGATTTAAGGTTTTTATATTTATCTATTTGTTTTGCTCATTGTGCTTAATTAATTGGGATTGTAGGAGGCATGAGAGTGTCCATTTCTTAATTATAACACTTGGTGTTCGAGAGAAACTAGGTTAATGATCCTTAGTGTTTGAGAGAAACTAAGGGAGGATATACGTGAGCAATGGGTTTTAGTTGCTAATTAGGGCCTAATCCAGCTTAGAGATAAGGATAGGATTTCAACGAATAAAAGGAGTAGTGCAGATTTGATAGGTTCGATGTTACTGTTTACACCGAGAGGTATTGTTGTGGCTATGGTCATGTTGAGATGGGCCTGGGTGAAGGTATGGAGAATCTTGGTGAGGTTCATCTCGATGGAATCCAATCGGCCATGTACTTCATGAGTTTTATTGCGCACGTCCGACTGAGGAAGCTCTTTCGGTGCTTCATTAGGCATGTCCCTCTGAAGAAATATGCGCACATTGTGTGGGGTAATAATACCAGTAGGAACGATATGTGGCACATCAAGAGTGCCAGCGAGAATTCTCATCGAATCCAAGC